TAGCAATTTTAAGTGTTTCATGGTCCTATCCGTAAATTCAACAACTGTTGCTTAACTCTTAATAGCCATACTCAAGTGAGTTTTCAGCAATGGATGCAATGATTTAACTTTGGCCACTTATGAACATTTTTCTTTGGACACAGATTTAGGATGCAGCATAGTGTCATCTTTGTCACATAATCTCAAAATTTCCATTGAAACTGCTGGGAGTAATGCAGATTGAAATCTACATTAGTTTTTAATGGTAATAGTGCTGCAGAGAAGGGAACAAAAGATATGCAGTAGCAAATCTGGTAAGAATTTGATAAATACCTTCACAGTTTTATAACAGGGGTTTTCAACCTTTTTGCCCCATGCACCCATTTGACTATTGCTAGATGATCATCCACGCTTCATAAAACTCATCAATTCCCATTTTTCAAAGAATCAAAATTAAAAAAAAAAAACAATTATTATTAGTTTTTTTTTTTTTTTTTTGGTTTTAAACTTCCATCTTATGTTCCAAATTTTAGCCTTTTGAGCGATTACTTTCTCGCCAAGGTTTTTTTGTTTTGCCTCCATGAATCCAAAATGGCAAACCTGTAAGTCACTGCAAATCGCGATTTACTAGCTCAAGGTTTTTATTTACTTCTTGTGAGTTTTAACTAGTTTTTCCACCGAAGTTTTAAAATTTCACTAAAGTTTAAAATATTTTGGATTATGTGATATATGTTTAAAAAGTAAAATTTTGATTCATTTTTTTTCACTGAAGTATTTTAATTATTCACTTTTGGTTTCAATTCTTTACACAAAATAGAAATCTCTTTATTTAAAGTACAACTTCTAACTGAATTTTTTTCCTTGCTTTGGGGAAGGGCCAGAATTTTTGGGTGACCTATTATAATTAAAATACATTGAAATGGTTCATCAGCTAATTCTGGAAACAGAAAGGCAAAGATTTCAATTGATTTCAATGTTCCTTTCCCTTGATGAAGTGGCACTGAAGTTGACTGAATTACTCTTCTGTTATGTTCTTTCTCTTTTAATTTCTTTAAAGAATTTTTTTGAATTGGGGCATTGATTGCTTAAAAGTTTTGGTTTTTATATTTATTAAATTCTTTGCTGCATTTATTAGATTATTTGAAATTTATTAATTATGAATTTCAAAATTTTCGTCTTTGTGAAACATTAGTTCTAAATTTCTTACTTTATGCCTTTAATGATAATTTTCTGCAGCTTAAAGTGCGAAATTACTAGGCATATTTATATTTTGTTTAAAAAAAACTGTTTTGTAATTACATTTATTTAAATACATATTACTTTTTGAAGTGTTTTATAAATTAAATAAGAAAAAGTATAGAAAATGTTGACAAATATCAAAACTATGAATAAAAGTAGTTTATACATTCATAAACTAAAACTAAATACTTAACAGGTAAATAATAAAAAAGTCTAACCATACCACCCCTGAAAATTATGACAGATGATCTTCATTTTACTCTTCTGTACCTCTAACTCGGTTTAAGACATCATCTCTACCATCACATAGGCCTCTCCATTATGCTTTCAGTCTTCCAAATTTTGAAAGATACTTATGATAATGTATGGAAGCGTATTATTTATAATGACAGTGCATTTAACACTCCATTCATGCTTTTAATACTATATTAGGTTTTATGCATTTTTGGTATAATCTAATAGTTTTTTCAGGAAGCCTGAAAACACTAAAAAATAGATTACACAAAAATCAATGGTAACTGTTTCCTCATTTCGCATTACAAAAAATTTCACTACTCTTTCACTCTACTTTCTTAAAAGAAAAAAAAGAAGAAAAAGACCTCATTATCATAAAATTACTGTTCAATTCACTACAACTATATCAAACATCTTGTAATCTTAACTTAAAATATATATATATATATAACCCTTTTACCTTTTTCTTCATATATCAATTTATAGCATGAATCAATTCAGGGTACTTTTTCAAGTATGCAAATGGAAAATAGCTTAACAATTCATAGACTGACAGTTAATATATTAGTGCCTAATTTAATCTATAGAAAACATTTATGTCACCTATTTAAAGTTCTACCACCACATGCGTTTTTACTTTTTTGGTTAAAATAATTTTGTCATTTTATGTCACAAACTATATTAAGATCTTACAAGATGGACATAACTTTTCCTCTAATGCATTTTTAGAATTTTGTATGACCAATATACACGTATATAAAATTGCCCATGGGAAATATGTAATTTATTCATAAAAAGAAATCCAAATGTAACATTTTTCAGTATATTAGTTTTATGTATTATAAAAGACAACAAAACAAATTTTAGTACTTATCTGTTATGCACCTGCACATATTTTGATAGTAAGATTGTAGTAATATGCGTGCGAGTGTTGAATTATTCTTACTTACACACACAAATAGTCTCCAGATGGTGCTATCATTGGGTCTTGACAAGTGTTTGGCTTCTCTTTCACAGAGGCCAAAAAGCGTGGCAGGTGCATAATAGAAAAGCACCCAAATTTTTAATTTCTAAGTATTAACATATTCATATTATGTAAATTAAATTCAGCTTTATTTAATTTTGGACAAGAACCAGTTCAGATACATAATATTTTTGTATAATTATTTAGGTAATATAAAACCATGCAGACTTTCTAAATAAGTAAAATTTGCTAGCTCTGTACTTCAAAGAAGTACTAATAGTAATAGAAATAATTACAAAAATTTCTATAATTTTAAAAGATATTTAGTAATTTAAATATAGTTCACTACATATATGTATTCTATGAGAAATGATTAAAATCTTGTGAAATGTTCCAAAATAACTGTGATTAATAAATTTATATACTACAAAAAGTAGTAGAACTATCTGCCACAAAAGTTCAAAAATATTTTTCAATTAACATTCTTAAAACAGAAGAAACTAATTTACAGACAAAAAGAATCTTCATTCTGTCCTTAGAACTATTTCTTAAAAAATACCCAGAGAAACCATTTATACATATTTACATTCCCATAATAATTTACATTTCTTTCACCAAAGCAATAGGAATACATTGAGCAACACTTAAGTTTACAGTATGAAAATGTATGAAATTGAAATTACTAACACGCATGCATAAGGCCACACTAATTATATATTACAACTGCATCATAAATGCCCTAGTTATATAAAAAATAAAACAGAAACAAACCAATCTCTGTAAACAAGACTGTAGTATACATATTATTGTTCATTATCTTAAAAGAAGACTAGATTGTTAAACATATTCTGGGTTACTAGGACTTATTAAAAAAAGCACAACAATATACATTGAAAAATTTTTAAGTATTAATTTGATACTAATTACAAAGTGCTCTTTAAAATGATCTGAAAGAAGGTAAACTTTCTTAGTTAAACTTCTAAAATTTTCACTTTTTTAAATAAATGATGAAAACAATGCAACTGCCAAATATTCAAAGCAATTTAATGAGATGTATAGCAGACATTGTTCACTGATATTATAACAAGTAAATACCTCTCTTACTAATTGAAAAATAATATATGCCAGAAATTTTAAAATTCTTAAATTAGTTTATATATAAACACCGCATGGATTCCAGCTTTTAAAAATTTAAATATCAAAAATTGAATGGACAAAGGAATAAACATGTTTTCACAATTTATTAAAATAAAAAAGTTTATTTAATTGAATATGGTACAGCACATAAGAGCTATTTGCCTTTACAAGGGAAAAGATTACACTTAACTGAATATACTGATTCAGAAAAGATGGGGAAGAAAAGTATCAAGAATATAACATTCTGCTAAGTTAGGATAGAATTTTATATTTATTATACTCCCAGAAAAACTTGAAAATATGAGGAAACTGCTCTTCAATCCATTCAAACCAAAAAAGTATAAAAAGGGGGAAAAATATGGGTGTATATAGAATTCTTAAAATTTCAGATGCAATTTTAAAATATCAAATAGAAAGAAACCCCCCAAAATTTTTTATCTTATCCCTTCACCAACAAAACATTTGTGATATCCATATCAATTCTTACTGATTATTACATAAATTTTTAAATTTTAAGTCAGCTACCTTCAAATGCTCACAAGTTTATATTTCAGCAATGAGATTAGTTTAACTGTTTATATTCAATTAAAAAAATTAAAAGTTACAATTAAGTTGGGTTTTAAGAGATATTACTTGTTTGCATTAAAAATGATTATCATAGTTTATTCTAAAGTTTCATAAACAATAGTTAAACTAAATCTAAAAAGCTTACAGTTGTATAAAAATATATAACATTCTGCCACTGAAAGTTAAGCCTTTTAAAATAAAATGCATTTACATATTTGATCTAGCAATACTACCTATTCAACATAAACAGTCACCACAGTGCAAGAAAGACAAAAAATAAAGGAATGTAGTGATAAAAATACTTAGAATATTTTTTCTTCATATTTTTATTATGGATTTAAAAATACTGATAACAGTTTGATTAATATGCAAAACATGTTAATTCTTTTTTTTTTACCCATTCCCAAAACAAAATATTTAAAACTAAAAACATTCTATAGTTTGTTTTATCAAATTCTTAAATTTTTATTAAATTTAAATTTCTTTATATGGAGAAATAATCCTCAAAAACTGATATATTGAAATATTTTGCATTACAGAGCTCAAAAAATGCTCTAGGAAAAGATTTAAATTGCTGCTTAATAGAATGTTAATTAAAAAGGTAATACACAAAACTTCATTTGATAAAAGCAGCAAATACAGCCCACATCGCTTCATTTGCATTGGGTTTCATGCTTTCAGCTTCAACATCTAGTTCAAGCAATTCACGAACACGTTTCATTGCAACTTCATAGTCATCATCTGATAAAGGAGCAAATGCATTTTCCAATACATCAGAAGAATGTGCAAGTATAATTAAAGATAAGATACGTTTGTCCATGCGATGTGGGTCATTGATCCATTTGCTTAGCACAGCATCTTGAACTTTTTTGACTAATTTAGTTTTTGTGCTAGAGTCTGTCAGTGGATGGGTTGTCATATCAAATAAGAGGAAGTTCTGTTTTTCTGTGGTCAGCACACCCTTTTCTACTAGATTTTTAGCAAGTCTTTCACGAACATTTCGTAGTTGGTATCTTAATTTCAAAGGATTCCATGTTTCACCTGCCAAATAAAACAAATTGTGAGTACTCTATGTAAGATAATTTATTTTAAGCATCTTAAATTAGCCCACAAAAATACATTTGAATTGTTTAACAGAGTTAATATGATATTATGGAATAATAATCATTACAATATTATGAAATAATAAGGTTTAAAAACATTGAGCAATTAAATAAAATTGAATAAAAACAAATAATTACAATTACTAATTCAAGTAGTATTTAATTAGGTACATTAGTTGACAGTTATTAAATCCATTCTTTTACAAGAATGAAATGGATCAGAATTTGTGCCAGTGAAATTTCAAAAGTCGTTAATCCGGACTCGTCGGGTCTTCGGCGATTCCAGATTATAGATCATCAGTTTAAATCTGGTAAGATGGCATACAGAAATTATAAAATTAAAAACATGAAACCATAATTTATGAAATAAAGAACAATTATAATCTTTAAAGGGTATCAAAATTTACAAAAAAAAAAAAAAAAAAAAAAAGCTTAATATTTACTTGTTTACTTTATTAAACATTTCTTTCAACGTAAGTTGTTTAAGTTGCTTTGTTTTATGTGATAATACTTTCTCTTTAATCCTATAAACATACATAATTTCTTCTTCAGTTACAAAGTTCCGCTGTTGAAGTCCTATAATTGCTGCGTCGAAAATACCGACTAATTTTTTGTCAATCGAAATTTTTTCGTTTTCAATAACCTCTGTGTCACTTTCTTCACTATCGGAAGCGAATTATAATGACGAGGAATTTGATTCAAATCATATCAAAGACGGAGTACATCGAGATGAAATACTACATTTAGTAAGGAATTATAAGCCAAATAAAATAAAAACATCTGCCCTGAAGATAAGGATAGTGCTGACAGATCAACTTCCAATACATTGCACGCCGCGGTGTCCCACCCCCCGCAGAGCAGTGTGAAATTGATAAACAGATTTTGGAATAGTTAGATAAACAAAGGATTATGCCTTTATCCATTTTTTGCAGCAATTCCACTTTTTGTTTAATGGACTTCGAAACATACTTTCGCTTTGTAGATCCTTTACATATTAGTAAATACATATCGGAAATTCTATTTGACATAATCGAAAGTTCACGCTTACTTTTATGAAATTGCTCTAACAGTCTGCAAAAAATAATAAGCCGGATCCAATTCGAAGATTAAGGAACAACGCAATCTGCAACATTAACTGAATTAGATAATTTTAGCTTAGCTTATACCATCCGCTATACATTAAATGCACATGCGCACGCGTATATTCGCAGCCGTAAAGGTCTTACGCGCATGCGTCAAAATAATAAGCCGGATCCAATTCGAAGATTAAGGAACAACGCAATCTGCAACATTAACTGAATTAGATAATTTTAGCTTAGCTTATACCGTCCGCTATACATTAAATGCACATGCGCACACGTATATTCGCAGCCGTAAAGGTCTTACGCGCATGCGTCAAAGCGACGCATGCGCAGAAAGTTTGTAGCTTTGAGGTCCGGATTAACGACTTTTGACTGTATAAATAAATCAAGGCTGGAAATTTAAATTTAACACAATTAGAAATGTAAGTAACCAGTCTGACACAGGAAATATATCATGTAGTAACAAAATCTGAACAGTGGATATGCAGCTTGAAATATTTTATTCAACATCTTGAAAACCAATTTATGATCCTCAGCATTAAAATGCCAAATCATAAGCATACATACAAAAGGCTAGAATATATCTATATTGTTATTTGTTTTTCAATGAGGTTTGCATGGTACAGATAACACCAAGCAAAATTTATATATTGTGTCACTTCAAAAACAGAAATCGAGTTAAATTTTTGGTGGATAGTTTTTTTCCCAAACTGTCATAAAAGATTCACTACATCAAAATTCCCACAAATAAACAATGTTCAAGATATAAATTAAAAAACTATAACACTTTAACAATTTAAGAAATCCCTTTGAGAATTTTTTGAGGAGTGGGAGGAATAAATAACACTATAAAACAACACACAATAAAAATTATGTGAATGATTTACGTCATAAAGAATTTTAAAAACATAAAATAACATTATTAAATATTCAGGCATTAATATCTAATATCTGGCACTTGTAACTGCTTTGCCAATATTTGCTAACCACATCAAATACATGCAATACAAATACACACATGCAAATAAGTGCATGACAAGGAAATTCAGAAAAGAATATGATAGCTACCTGATTTAAAAATGTGACATATTCAATTCAACATTAGTTTAATAAATGCTTCAATTAAATTTCTTAATAAACTGAGAAGAAACTTGATAATATTAAATTTATTTCTGAAGTTGAACAGCAAAGTGGCATAGTAATTTCTTTAAATACCACCAAATTTTATACACACCTCCTGGCAAAACAAGAGCCAAGATACATATTAACTGAAATAATTTGTTGCTTACACAGGGTGGTCAAAATTAAACTGGCCCTGGAAATGTGCAAGAGTCTGACAACAAACTTACCCTTGTTAATGAACAGAAGAGCTGCCCTTTATAGAAAATGCCAGAAATGGCCACTGTTGACATTAATGCAGCGTAGTGCTTGCTCTATTTACGAAATTGAGAGACATGTAGCAGGTCTTCCTGAGGGATGGCAGTAGTAGCATTTTCATTGTTCAGCTTCCAGTGTGATTTACATAAAACTCCACAATGAACACTTACTCTTTTATTGCTAGCACCTTTTTGTGTTACATTCAGTTGATCACTAAACACGTCCAAACTTTTCATTCAAACAACTGGTTGCTGCCACGTGTGTATGCATGCTTCCCCCCCCCCACAGTTTCTAATAATCTCTGTTACTTTAAGAGTATGCTTTCACAAAATTCTCTAAACACTTTACGGAGCCAGTTTTATTTTGATTATTCTGTATCCAGCAGTGTCAAAATTTCTACAAATATACACATATTGCATTACTGAGATATGTAACATTAATTACACTAGTTACATTAATAACACATTAAATACAAATATAAATATAGAAAATTTTTGATAAAATATTACATTTCTAGCAACTTATTCAACAACTTTCTTTGCTTGCAGCCATAAAATATGCATACTTAAGTTTTTGGATACTATGATTGATTCATTATATCAACACAAAAAATTAATAACTAGTATTTTGTTATAAAAGCCCACTTCTCAAACAAAATGCAAGCTTTTAAGGAACAACACTTATATTAAAATTAAATGTAAAAAATATTATACTGATTTTGCATATTTGACAAGTTTTTCCCCAACATTTTGAATATTTTACGAGAAAAAAGGCTTGCAAGCAAAATGGTCTCTTATGCATTAGAATGAAGTGGAAAACATTTTCTTGGAAATTTAAATCACCTATATATGGAAAAGCTGCTTTTAAGTAAACACAAACAATATTTTCCCAAATTAGATTTGATATTTAGTTGCCAAAATTTTCCTAAAAATGTCATCTTTATGTTAAATTACTTCAAAGTTGGCATGTTAATAACCTTCATCATGAATATGCTTCTCAAGCTTTTCCATTGAAGCTTTATAACCTTATGAAGCTACATGACACAGGAATAGAAGAGCCCAAAAAGCCAGTACCAGCCATATTGTGCTTGGAGCCAGTTTTCTTAGAGGTCACTGGTGAGCTTGTAGCATTTGTTGTACTAATCATATTACTGCATTCTTGTATATTGTACTGATTGTCTACTATGTGAGATACATCTATCGTCTATTGATATTGCACTAATTGTCTCCTCTGTGCAAGAGTGTTAAATAAATTTTAATAACATTTTTTTTAAATCCAAAGATAATTTTAATTAGCTTTAATTTATGATCTGTATAAATGCATTCAACACAATTAAGGGTACTAATACCCTGTTTAGTCTATAAATGCATAAAAAAAGTGCATCAAACGTAAAATGGGGTCAATTATACTTTAAAATTTGTCTTATTTTAAAATTGTCCTGCTTATGCTATAAATGCATAAAAAAAGTGCATCAAACGTAAAATGTGGTCAATTATACTTTTAAAATTGTCTAATTGTATTTTAAATAAAAAGGAACACGAATCACAAATAACATTAATGTTAGAAAGAACACATTAATCAGCAAGACATTTAAACAAGAATGCAATTTTCGTATTGTGTGCATACTCACCACTAATGCGGGGGGGGGGGGGGATTCCAGCTTTACAGGAAAGAGTTCCACTCTTTCAGGTCAACAAATATAGCATAAAATGTCATATCAAGCAGTTGAATTATTTTAACAAATTTCTATTTTATTATAACCTCCCATACATTGTAGCACAATTTCACCAAAAGATTCTGGTTCCCGAAACAGAGGTCTCAAAGTATGAAATTCTGCTGAACACATTTAGGAAGCTTACAAATTAAAGCTAATTAAAATTTTCTTTTTATTTAAAAACATTAAAAGCAACACATGTAATGCTCTCACACAAAGGGAATTAAATTATTATACAATAAGAAACGGCTCAATAGTGACTAGCTTGCTCATAAACCAGCGTAATCTTGTGCCAAGAACAATAATGTGAGCATCATCTGTCTGGGTCCTCATGCTCAAATGGCTAGTGTTATATAAGCTTCATTTTAAATTGAAAAGTTTGATATTTTCCCTATGAAGAATATTAATACACTAACTTTGAAATAATTGACAGCCAGAGATTAAATCTAATTTAGGAGATATTTTGCATGCTAATCATGTTTCCTTAAAGTAACTTTTTCCCATACAGGTGATCTAAATTTCTAAAAAAACCGTTTTTCATGCCATTCTTATACATACAGTCAAAAGTCGTTAATTCGGACACCCATAATCTGGACCTCAAAACTAAAAACTTTCTGCGCATGCGCCGCGTTGACACATGCGAATAGGTGTTTACGCGTGCGCGTTTTATATATAACAGACGGTATAATCTAAAATTATTTAATTATCTATTTCAGTTAATGTTGATGATTGCGTTGTTCCTTAATCTTCGAATTGGATCCGGCT